TAAATTAAATGCTTTTTGCGCGCGAAGCGCGGAAAGTTTATTTTTCTTTTTAATAAATAAATAATCGGTCAATTAAAAAAATTAAAGCGAGCGGATAGGAGGATACCGCCGTGCTCCACGAACCCAACGAAATTCGCTTATGAGAAGTAACTGTTTCTCATGCGAATATTACATTTTAAATGTAAAACAAATTATTTTCGCGCACGACGGGTGTGCTTACTTTCGCGGCTGTGAAAGGTGATATTTCCGTAAATGCAAAATATTTTCGCCTCGATATTTTCGTCTTCTTATTTGACGGGCGAGTAAACAAGATCCATTACCGGATTATTTCCGCGTGTGTTTATAATAAACGCTTCGCGCGTTTCGCGCAAGCGGTATGCACACCTTTGGGAATCCGCGATTTGCAGTATTCGCCTATCTATCTGTGTATTTACGCATGTAAACTACATTATACGTATAACATTTATACCCATCACTTGGTTTCTCTCTGCGGCAAATCGTCGCGCGATTCATTCGCGCTGGGAGGATCCGCCGCGCGAACAGGCGCGAGATTCGACGGGCAAGCGTTCGCGAAAGTTCTCATTTCGAGACTCGCAGCCTTCGCGCACAAAATGACATGTGCACGCCGTCGCTCGACCAATGAGCATGTAGGAAAAAGTTCTGTTATGCTCCGCAAATCAATATGGCAACTTCTCCGCAAGATAGGTACTCATTGGGGTCGAGGCGTGCTTACGCTATGCACACGCAGCTGTAAGTCTCCGCTCGTTTTCGAACAACTTCCGAACTCGCGCGGTAAGTTGCAGCGAAACAAGCGGGTCTCCCTTTGCTCCAACTTATCGCGCTGGTGTGCATTAGCTCAGAAGTTCTTCGAGAACGAACAGACACCATCTCGCATCGTGATGGCGCCGCGTAAAGAGCAGCCAATGCGGTCCGATTCGCACTAAAATATCAGCGGAAAATACTCACATAGGAGGTCGCCATCGGGAAAACTTCGGCTAATGGCGATGGTCGCGATGTCTCGCGTTTCGCGGCTTAGCGTCGTCAGCAGAAGCCACCTTAAGTTAAGGAAGATTCATCGGCGGCACGCGCGCGCGCGCTCGCTCGCTCTCTCTCTCTCCTCTCTCTCTCTCTCTCTCTCTCTCTCTCGTCGGATTCGCCGGAGCGAACGAATCTTACCGTAATCCAACAGGCCGTGGAAAAAGTGCTCGAGCTCGCAAATGCAGTCGAGGTCAGCGGCGCGCGAGCGAGGCCGTTTTTGCGACGGCGCCGCGCCGCCTCCGACATCTTTTCCGCGATGCGCCTTCTTGCAGTTCCGCGCCGCGGCCGCCGCGCGCGCGGCTTCCGATCGCCTTTCGCTCGCTCGCAAGTTCACGATTAACGATGTAATCGCTAGCGCCTCGCCGCCGGTTACGCAGGCGTGATGTAACAGTGCGTGCAACGCGCGCCGCAACGAACGTCACGGGCCATAACGAGCGATGACGAGCGGCGGATCGCGAGCGACGATGAAGCGCGTGGACGATAACGATAATCGCGACGGTAAACATTTTTCTGTGCTTTCCAGCGTCGGCCGCTGAAAACGGGAGAGACTGGGCGCTTTAGCGCGAAAACCGACGAATTTTGCACACCAGTTGAGCCGGTCGCTCTTTAGGGTCTCCATGTACCATGAAGGGTTTGGAGTATCTTTACAAAGGACACTTGTGGATATTTTATTTTTGCTCCACAGTACTCCCCGCGTCGGCTTTTTTTTCCTCTTTCAACGCATGGCAGAGGGTTTCATTCATGTTACAGCTCACGGTCACGATGGAATTTAAATCCGCAACTAGAGCAGCAAGTTTCTGATCCAGAGATAAAGCGCGTGTATTATAAGAAAGAAAAAAATCTTCAACTTAATATCATAATTCAGTATAATTATTATAATCGTCTGATATTCGACTCGATGTGATAAGAAGACGACGCGCACGCGCGCGCGAATCGTATCCTTGTAAAAGGAAATATTCAAGGAATAGCTCTGTACATGCATCTTTCATTATATTTATATTACAGAATTATACATTCGGCTGCCCGTATATTTCGGCGCGTACATTCAGCGAAAATAAATGGAAGGAATTCGCTTTGCCAAAAAATTCGACTCCCCTTTTCGCTGAAATATGCTTCCCTACCGACACTGGGAGCGCGCTCGCTGCTCGGCGTATCTCTCTTTGAAACGCACAAGTGACGCGCAATGTGTATCAGTATGCAACGGGGATGAGGAATTTATTTCGGCGATAGTAAAGGCGCGCTCGCGCCGGCGTAGCCGCTCGCGAGAGAGTTAAACGACGACGGGGCAGGCATGCGCAGCGAAAAATAACGGGAGGGCAATTTCTTCGTTGCCGAGGAGCGTGCAATGCCACTATTACTACTGCTACGTGCGTTTCGAGACCGCGTGACACTGGCATCGAGCTCTATCAGTCACTCAGTCAATGACAAGTACAGTAAAGTCCGTGCGAATGTTGGACGCGCGCGCGCGCCGTCATTCTCACTTTTTTTTTACAGGAGCACATGACGCCGATAAGCACTTAATCCGCACCGTTCCGCGGCGCGGTATATATCGCAACTCGGACAGGGAAAACATCACAGCCTCGTGGAGGAGTCGGCGATTTTTGCAGACGACCAAGTCGCGCGGTTCGATTAAGCTTCTAGAGTGAAGACCGCTCTTTATCAGCGAGATTCGCCTCGTGGGAAATTCCGTCCGTAGCGCAAATTTTATTCACCACGCAACGATCAAGCAAAGAGCTGTGATGCGAGAAGAGAAGAGAGAAGACGACCTTTTTATCACAACATTCTTCAAAGAGATGTTGAACTCGTGAGATTGTTTCCTCCGACGAGAGCGCATCCAGTCGTTGCTCCAGAAATTTATTCGCGAGGGAAGCCAACAACCGGTTAAGCAATTCGCCTATTATGCGTGTCAGAATCGCGTAATATTTCGCGACTCGCTGACTTCGCTGGACTTCCTGGACCGAAGTGCATCCGTAATCGGACGCGACCGAAATTATACGAATTCTTCTGCAGCTACAAATCGGCTTCGTTGCTCGATTTTAACCAGCCATCCTCGTGGTTTCTCTTTGGCGAGAGAGAGAGAGAGAGAAAGAGAGGGAGAAAGGGGACAGATTTATTTGAAAAATCACAAATTCTCTCCGTACTCGCCGAAGAAGTCCTCGTTAGAACTTCATCCGCTCGTTCTCATACACCGCGCGCAAACGCAAGAAGATGTATCATCATCGCCGAGACGACAAGAAACGAGTCAACGCGGACATTATTAGCGGCAATACTCCATTCGCGCGGCAAAGTCTCAATTACGCAAAACCGCGCATCGAACACGATCTGTCTAATTTCTTAAGGGGGGAATCCTGTCTGTAGGCCAAAAAATAGACTACTTTTACGAATTTTTTTTCGGAAACTAAGCGGACGATTGATTTCAAACTTGATAAAAATAATAATATATATTTAACTCATAAGAATGAATTTTTATAGTGTTATATGAATAATGAAAATGTAGCAGATACACAAAAAATAACGCGACGTTTTTAGGCGCGCGCCGTTTCACAGCTCCCATGAGATCTCAAGATACGGTGGACTGGAATAATAATACTAGATGCGCAACTAAGTTTCCGGATTTTTTTGATCAATGAGAAATGGAAAATTTCAAGAGAAATACAAAAAATGGTTTATTCAAAGTATCGTTCCTCGCTAGCTACGCATTTTTGCCATCTCTCTGGCAACACATGAATACCGCGACGATAAAACGACGCGTCTTTGGACCGAAAGCATTCGTCCAACCAATTTTGCACTTCTTCGAAATTGGCCAAGTGTTGCCCAGCCAAGCCATGCGCCATCGACCAGAACAAGTGATAATCGGAAGGGACCAGGTCTGGCGAATACGGCGGGTGCGGTAGCAGATCCCATTTCAGCGTTTTGATGCAAGGCCGTTTTTCGAGCAATGCATGGTTCAAATTGATCAGTTGTTGTCGGTAGCGATGCCCATTGACAGTTTCGCCCGGCTTCTTTTCAGCAGCTCATTGTACACGATTCCTTTCTGGATTCCCACCAAACGCAGAGCATTGTCTTCTTTCCGAAGCGATTCGGCCGTGCCGTCGATATTGATGCTTCGCCAGGTGAAAGCCACGATTTTTTGCGTTTGGGATTCTCGAAATATATCCACTTCTCATCGCCAGTAACAGTTCGATGCAGGAAACTCTTTCTTTCATGCCGCAAAAGCAAAATTTCGGAAGTGGCTCTTCGATTTTCCATCTGTCTCTCAGTCAACCCATTTTCCTTCCTTTTGAGTTTTCCCATGGCATGTAAACGTTTGGAAATACCTTGGCGAGTCATGTTTAATGCCTCCGCAAGTTGATCTTGTGTTTGCGTATCATCTTCATCCAATAACGCTTGCAGATCGGCTTGTCCTCCGGCTTGTTTTTGGTCTTCCGGAGCTCTCCTTGTCCTCAGTGTCGAAATCGCCACTTCTTTTAGCGTTTAAACCAATCTTCACAGGTAGTTTTCGATGGTGCGTGCATTCGCCGTAGGCCTCCTCAAGCAAACGGACGTGCTTCAGCTGCACTTTTTTTCAAGTTAAAGCAGAAAAGCAAAGCTTCCCGCAAATGCTGTTTATTTGCCACAAAACTCGGCATCTTCGTTGTTAGAAAAAATATTTTTGCGTTGCGATATGCGTTGGTATTACGCTGGTTATTGTTAACAGATGTCCAAGATATAAAAAAAACACAACTTCAGACATGTATGTCGACTACATGTGTCGTTAGCGCCATCCATGTGTGAAACCCGGAAACTTAGTTGCGCACCTAGTATAATTAACCTACAAGCTCGCCGCTATCGTCTGAACTGAAGGAAAATAAAAAACGAACTACTTTTTCAATAATTTTAAGGCGTTTAAAAATTATATTTGAAAAATCGACAGTTTTACGTTAAAAATAAATATGAAAAATTAATATTTTTTTATTTCGCTAGTTCACACGATAGAGAGACATGTTTCGAATATGTAACTACATGCTGAAGTCGATCGGTTTATTGTTTTGGTCTCAAATTGTGGGAGCCAGTTAAAGCAAAGTCATCTCGAAAAAAACACGTTTAAAGTTTCATGTACTATTCAATCATATCTCTCTAATACTCACGTAAGTTTCAGCCTAATCGGCAATTTCAAGCCCATATAATGAATTCTTCTCGACTTCATGAAACTCTTTTTTACATTCCTAGGTTTCGTAGGATTGTTTCTACAGTGCAGTTGTATAACGAAACTTTGAAAGACCCAGTGAGCGCTCTGATTTGGACTTGTGCGCCGCTTCGAATAATAGGTTGTAACTTTCGTAATTTTCTAAATTTTTCGATACGGATTTTAGAACGGATTCTTACAACATGTATTTTCAGAAAATGTAATAAAAAATTAATTTTTTTTACCCTACAGACAGGATTCCCCTCTTAATTGCGTGTGCCAACCGCAAAACTGGAAGAACGAGACTCGGACCAAAGCTTCAGACCAAAGAGAAACACGAAGCTACGCTACAAGACGCCCAAAGCGACAAGCGTCATGGAAAGTCCGAAACGAAATCGCCCCCGCGAGGACGATCGCAGTGTTTCCTCGCGCGCGCGGAGAGGGCACGTCGGAAGACCGTCGGAGGAGTGCCGTATCCTCGGCGAACTGGGGCGATGTGTGGTCATCGTCGGGTCACACGGGTCCTCAGGACGTGGTCCAAGAGGACAGGATCCGCATCCGCGGCGCTCGCGCTTCGAGGCCGTCGCTGGGCGAGCGCGAGCGGGACGAACCGAGGAGGATGGTTGTTAGCGGAGGCAGCGAGCATGCATTAACAGTACTCCGGACGGGCCGGTGGTTCTCTGGTTCCCTGCTTTCTGCGACGTCCCCTTCTCAGCGGAGAAGGCACCGATGTGCCCGGCACACACCGGGGAGAAGGAGTCCTTCGCGTGGCCCGGCTCGATGCACGCGCCTCAGTCCGTCGGGGACCTTCGTCAAAATTGCATCCCTCCCGTCTCTGGCGCGTCCTCCAGTTCGGGAGAGTGTCTCGAGTGTTTGCTAAACGCGTCTCGGGTTAACGAGAGGAGAGAGCGACGGCGGAAGAGACTGGCAGAGGCAGAGAGAAAGGAGCGCGAGAGCGAGCGAGAGAAAGAGAGCGCTTAGCGAGATCATGTGGAGGGTCCTGATCGCGGGATTTTGCACGGTGAGTCTTTCATTCGGCAGGGGGTTCAAGCGCGGCCATGAGTCGCGCCGACGACGACGTCGCGCCCGATTCGCGATGGGCGAGGGGTATAACCGAGGATAACCGATTTTCCCCCCCGACGTCGCGACTCGAAGCCCGTCTCGAGCGATTTATAATCCGAGACGAAATTCCGGGCGGAGTTCTATTCGCGAGGGGAAGCGTCTGAAAGATCGGGATCGCGTTTCACGCGTTAAGGGGACGCGTGGAGAGTCAGATTGCTAAAAAAAACCGCTTGTTTTTGATAATATTTCGTGACGAACTGAATTAATGTGCAAGAATGAAAATTTTAGGTATATTTATATAACATATGAAGAGTAGAAAAATTTAGTTTATTAACAAATATTTATATATATAGCTGAAATATACTCTCCTTTCTTCTCAAGTTGTTTGTGCAGTAATATCTCGGCTCTCGGTGGTCCGATCAGAGCGAATTTTAGCTAGAAATCTTCAGGAGGCTTATCATTAACCACTACAAAAAAAAATCGAACAAAATTAACAAAATAGCAGCTATTATTAGAAAAAAATTTTAATTTTCCAATTCTTTTACAATGAAAAAAAAATTAATATCTCGAAATGAGATATTTTGACGGAGTTGTCCATGGTTCATCTGAGAGCCAAATGAACAAATATTATTGCTTTAAAATTTCAAATCGATACGAAGCTCAGTTTCGAAGAAATCGCTGCAAAAAATTGAACAATAAAATTTCGAGAAAAACGCGTTTAAAATTTAAGTGGACGTATATTTACATGAGTACTTGTTAATAAACAAAATTCTTCTACTCTTCACCTGTTGTACAAATATATCTAAAATTTTCATTCTTAGACATTTATTCAGTTCGTCACAAAATATTATCAAAAGCACGATTTTTCAGCAATCTGACCCTCCAGTCCCCTTAATCTACGGACCGTCTCTCGAATATTTTCCGGCACAGCTGCAAAATCGCACATGGAATATCATAGGGAATTCCAGCCTACGAGTCGCCCAAACTCGACTCGCAGGCGGCCGGCTGATTATCTGTCTGTCTCTCTCTCTCTCTCTCTCTCTCTCACAGCGGATGCTACGAAAGAGAGAGAGAGAGAGAGAGAGAGAGACTCATTCAAGGAAACGCATTGGTCCGCTGAAAATCCCGAGCGCGGCTCAAAGTCAGAGGTTTCCGACACACCTATATCGCTTTAATTGACGTGAAGGGCGCGACGACGGGCGACTCTGCCGGAATAAATCAGACCAATCGTGGATGATGGACGACCATTGAAGCTCCGTGTCGTCCACTCTTGGTGACTAATATTTGTCACGTGGCGTCAGGACTTTGTCTGATATTGTGTGCTGACAGTTTGTCATGCGATTGTAATGGATCCGCGCGATGGTTAGACGTTAGTTTTACCGCATCGTCGCTCGGATTGTCGCCTATTTCACCGCGTTAATACCCTCATTAGCGGAAAACGCAAGAGGGAAAGGCATACGGAAAGAGAAAGAGAGAGAGAGAGAGAGAGAGAGAGAGAGGGAAGGAGGAAGAAAAAGAGGAAAAACGCGTCGATCGCGCGAACTCGAGATCGCGCGCGCATTTACATCCGCGAAAGAGTTGTAAGAAATCGTCGCGATAAATCACGTCGCTTCTGCGACGATTACAAATTCATCCGCCGCGAGCGTTCGCCGAGCGAACGTTTCGAGTCGGCTATCGCCGAGCCGAAGGGAGGGAAATTGCGAATTTCAATAAAATCTGACACCGTCGCGAGCTGCCTTAACGAAATAAAAAGACATTGTTGCCACCGCAGGGCTCGCTATCGGTTTCTCGCCCTTGAACGTCACTTTGATACCGCGACATTTAATTACACTCATACTAAGCGACTGGCGACTTATCTTCTCTATTTATTCGCGCGTCCGTCGAGAGCCGGTCTCGTCGTTTTTCTCACACTGGGCGCCCGCCGCGAAATACCTGCCGATAATGACAACGTCAATTAATTTCCGGCAAGAGAGCCGCGAGAGAGCGCCGAGGAGATATCCCGCGGCGAGACAGAGAGTGTCGATCGGTTCTCATTTTAACTGGGCCGCGCGCTGACCTCTGTCGCGATGCTCTTATTGCGTAGAAGGAAAAAGAAAAGAAAGGGGAGGGAAAAAAGGAGAAGCCATAAGCACGATGTATTTTTATATTACATCCTTAAATCATGTCGAGGCGTGACCGCGTCGAAAATAATGTCCGTCTTCGTGGAGAAGCCCCTCGCGAGCGACTCGCTCGAATTTTCCAGGATCGCTTTCCGCGGTCGCGCGCAAAGAACAGAGAGAGGGAGAGAGAGAGAGAGAGAGAGAGAGAGAGAGAGAGAGAGAGAGAGAGAGCGCAACACACGTTGCGGCGGCGTAAGCGCGCCCCGTCGTGGCCTAAGGGTAATTTAAAATGCACACTATTATTAATACGTGACATTCGAGGCGACGAAACGCGATAACGGGCAATTTAAAGCGAGCCGCACGAGCGGGCCATTGATACGTTTGAAATATTAATGGCTCTTCCAAACGACGAAATAATTGAATTGTGTCGGACATATCTCCCCGCGGCCGTACGCCGTCGACTAATTTCGTCGTGAAACGCGATACATTGAAATATACTCTGACACTTGCGAGCGCGAAAGTATCAAACGAGAAGGGAGGCAACAGGACGAGAGAGAAAGAGAGAGAGAGAGAGAGAGAGAGGAGGGGGGAGAGGGCAGGAAAACGAAGATTATGTATGTACATCGTGATAGAGAGTCGCGATTACTTTGAATAAATAATCGACGTGTCGCTGCCTCGGTCGCGAGTCGCGCGAAATAACGTGACGTGTATAATACGCAACAATGGAGCGAGTCCGAAATTTCCAGACGCGCAATTTCGCCCCGAAATATGCTTCGGCGATGGAGGCGATTCTTATTAACGCGCCGTCGCGCGCAAGCGGGCGCGACCTCCCTCGCCCCGTTCCAGCTCCGTTCCAGCTCGCGCAGCTTGGCCGGAATCCCGTTGAAACACGCTCAATTTAAAGTTTAAATGAGAATTAAAATTAATCCGTTTACAGATGATTGAAGTTCTAATTATGCGTATGCAAACCGAGCGCGCGGCGGTCGGTTTCGGCGACGCGAAGGCGCCTCGCGCGTGCCGCCATTTTAAGCGGCGCTCGTGCGGCGGTGGGGAGCGTTTGTTAGCGCGAAAAATACACTTGGCACGAACGACAGGACGCGCGTGGCCGAATAATGAATAACGGGCCCGCTCGAATTCAATTGAGCGCACAATTCGAAGCGACAATTGCAATGTATGGCGCCGAACGCCTCATCTCGGATTATCTCCGTTTGTACTCTTCGCGCTCTCCGCGCAGGCCGCGTTATTATATTTCTCGAATGCCCGACCGCCCTCCTCCCCCGTCCCCCCCCCGTCCAACGGTCGTCGTTACCCGGGCTCGTCGAGTCTCGGCAAAATTCCTCAGCGTACCGAGCGTACACGGTGCGTTGCGCGCTTTACGGCCATCAATTAAACGTCCTTTTATGTCGTCGGCAAATTCCAAGGCAGCCTCGGCGCGGTTGATTCGGCGTCGAATAGGACGCGTGTCGCCGAGGATTTAACTGTACCGAATTGTGTCAGACCGGGCGAGACTGGATGTACCGCGGATAAGCGGAGTCGCGGCATTGAAAAAAGAAGACGCGATTTATGAAGTCATAAAGAGAGGAGGTTTGCGGTTCTTTCGAATGGGACCGAAGAAAAAAAGACCGCCAATCGCGGCGGCCTCGTCTCGCGTGGCAGATTTCGAGTCGTGCCCGCCTGTCCTTTCCCGTTACGCGCGTCCGCCGGTGAAAAACGAAATCCCGATCGCATATAAACCGAACGGCTTATTAGCCGCGCCTCCCTATCTCCGCGCGATAAATTACACGGTTTGCTCCAGGAGCCGCGACCTTAATTTCAACGGCGCTGCTGCTGCCCCGCTTTTCGACCGAATAAACGAGCCAGTGAACGAGGATGCTTCGTAGCGCGAGCATGGAGACTTTTTTCTTAACAACTTGTAGGCACTCGGAGACGTTCGATATCGAGTGATTTTTTTCCCACGGACGAGCGTTGATGGCATCAGCCCGAGTAGCTGTAAAATTCGAGCCCGCGTCGAGCGATATTTTTTTTTTTTCACAAGATATAGCTGTACTCGCAGGCGGTGCGAATTAATTAATGAAATTCGCACGAGTCGATTAACAAAATTTTCCCACAACAAGAGAACGACTCGCTGGAACACACACACACACACACACACACACTCACTCGATCTGTCTGCATTGTTGTGTCACATTCCAAGTCGCGGAATGTCTCGCAGCTTCTCCCGGGGGAGACGCGCGTGCGTATCCGGAAAAAAGTGTCAACACGAATCCGAGCCTCTCGTGTGTGTGTGTGTGTGTGTGTGTGTGTTTTCATTTATTGAGATTAATCTCCCGGCTCGATTCGAGCGAAACGTCTTTTTCCCCGGCCGCTCGTCGAGTCCTCGCACCATCCACGCGCCGGGATACGCGTAATCGCTCGACCGTCGCCGTTGCTCCGACGAGCCGTCATTTCTGCCGATCCGAGGCGGGCGGGTTTATCGGAAAAACATTAGTGAGAGAGTCGCTGAAAGTCGCACGACGAAAAACGTCGTACGCGCATAATCGCGTCTCGCCCGTCCTCCAAACGCCTGGATCTACCCGAAGCCGCGCGCGCGCGAGTCGTTCGCTTACGATGCCATTAAAAATATTAACTTCAGCCGGTGCCGCGTGCGATTCATCGTCGTCTCGTCGTCGAACTACTCCCCGAACGAAGTCGTCGATACAATGCTCGACAATTGTCAATCGCTGCCTCGTGCAATTCTACTCTCGCGCGCGGAACTCGCGCCGGAGATGCTCGCGATAATAAATCCACCGTCGGCTCGTTATCCAATTTGCAGAGATAATTGTTGCAGCAACGAAAGTGGCATAAAAGGAATCGCACACGT